CGATGCTGTCTTGATGCTGTCGCGCTTTAACGGACTCTCTATTTCATTTAGAAAACGACATGGTGAAACGACATAATCTTTATCTTGATATAATGTGTCTGATGCTTAATTCTTCATTTTTTGCTGATAAGATAGAAAGATCATATATTTCAAGATTTTTCTATTTATGATGTTTCAACTTTTTTATTTTCCATCTTCCTAACGTCCCATCCCGTCTCAGTTAGCATTCGCAGAGGAATTTTCTTGGCAGTTTCCGATAAAAAATATAAATTTATAATTTATTTATGTTAAGAAAGTAATTTATGTAGAATTTATGAAATTCTATAAATTTATAATATTTATCTCTATATTTAAGAAAACTAATTTATGAAATTCGTTAATTTCTCGCAACGTTCAATTCCGATGTCCAAGAGAAACTTGTTGCTAATATCATTTATTCGTTATTTTATCGGTAAGCGGATGATTCTAAAATCACTTTTAACATTAAGCGGACTTGTTTTTGCGACGGTGATCAACTCGTATTATCTCAACTATTTCGGGACAGACCAAGCAGGATTCATAAATTGCGTATGGAGTTTCAGCGAGGCGCAACGATCTCACGAGGCCGCCTTTAACAGACTAAGGTGCGAGCTTTTGTGGCATGCATAATCTGCCTTCTAACTTGTCTGGAGATCCCGGAGTCCGTCGGAACTCTCGCGTCGCACGACCACGTGCTGTACACGCCGCGTGCGTGCGAATGCGTACCATACGTTAGTATATACGGGGGCAGGTGGTGGTTATACCCCGAGTGAAGATGCTCAATTTAACGAGGAGGGGTAACGCGTGCTGCCGGTCGGGCAGCTGTCGGGTGGTGTGCGACAGCTGCATCTTGGGGACGAGAGCGAAAAGAAAGCGAACCCGCAGGGAGCAGCCTCAGAACGGAGGGATTCGAGGGTTCGGTCTCGATGGAGAAGAGTACCTCAGAAGTATTACGCCGTAAACATTACGAATGGTGCGAATGGAGAGAGAACTCTCTCGCCGCCGTCGATCGATCTTTCTCGTGGAAAAGTTTCGAGCGCGAAGAACGAAGCGAGAAAACTTGGTCTCTCGCGCCGGCCGGATAAACTTCGCTAATTAACTTGACATTCGATCTGTTTCGACTAGAACGTTAAATAATTGTATCGTGCGCCGTATGGCAGATTCTACAAAACCGAAAGAAATTGTGGAAAACTTGATATAGTGAGAGGAAAAGAGTGTCTAAAAGGATAATCGTTGAAACTGCGAGATTTCTGGAAATTGAAGATTTTTTTCTCCCTGTCCGAGTGAAGTTTGATGATCAGTAACAGTGATGGATGATAATTTGATTTTCTCGAGGTCGTAATTCAAAATGATTCTGATACGCGACTGATATTCTACTCTGTATTTCTCTCAAATTGTAGGTAATTGTATTAATCTTTAATAATTATTATTATATAGTTTTGTCACTGCACATTTTCAGATATGTTATATAAAACTTTATAAATATTGATATACGCTATTATTTCTCTCATTTCTCTTTTATTTTAGCTTTTCAAGATTAAAAATATAACAACTTGATAAATTTGACTATAAATTATATTTTACGATAACTTTATTACGCGCGGATTTTTCATCATAAACATTTCTCCAGTAAAAAATCTAAGAATATCATTAAGCATATTTTATATTTAATAAAAAAAATACTCGCGAGATCAAAAGTATGATATCGCGTTACGTTTCAGCGGTATAAATTTTGGTTTTTTGATATTCTCGCGATTTTCCATGGAAGATACAATTTCCATCTTAAACACCTTTAAATGCAATGATGACCGGCTTCATTATCGACCATTATCGTTTACCTCCGTGTCACCCCGTCACCCTGATTGACCCCATCGAGTATCGACATATCCGTTTCACTCTCGTGGAAAAGCCGATCGTCGCACCGGCGACGTTTCCCGTTAAACGATCGAGCTAAATTTACGGATATCGGAAAATGTTGATTGTTAGTCGCTCGTCGTTCTTCGAGGAGTGTCGTCGCGATAATGGGAGACAGATAATGTTGGCGACTAATTTTAGAAATGACGGGTCCCCGCAGATCCGTCCGCAAAACTTACGGCTGTAAACCGCCGCTCACGACGCTGTCACCAA